CTGTTTCAGTTACAGCAGATCAAAGTTGTCAAGAAGATAATTTAAGAAAGTGAATGAGAAAGAATGAAACGGCTTGAAGTTGAAATTCTATACATATTGCATAATAATCCTATAAACTCTATAAAGTAATAATAATAAACTATATTTCTTTAACATTCTTTCAAAACTGGAGGTACAAAGTGCTTCACCAAATATGAAAACTTGCATTAGAAAACCTGCAGTAACAGAGCATCAGAGAAAGAATTGATAGCTTTTTAAACTGAGGCACTACCTGAGCTGTTCTGACAATCTGGATTAGTTTGTAAAAGACAAACAACAGTAAAAGCATAGTACCCCTTTGTTTGAAGCCTGTTCTTTTGGACTTTTAACAGAAATTAATTGTCAGAAATCAGAATTCTTAGGAATGAAGCTGCAGAATAAGGTTTTAATAGTGTACCCCACCTACTAAATATTATAGTGTACAGTTTTGCAGTTGCTGTAAATAAAAGTCACCATATCAGACAAACAGTGCCATACATGTTGGTGTCTATTAAACTGGGACTTGGGAATGACACTTGAAATAACTCAGTGGGACCCAACGACTACAGGGCAAAGCAACATGAAAACTAGACGTGTTGTTTCTTTAGCAGGTCGCGCTGTTTATGGCTGCTTCCAGGTTTTTGTCAAAGCGAGCTCTTCTGCACCTCTGGGACTTTGTGGGCCAGAAATGCTGATTACGTTTTTTTTTGTAACATAAGTAATCACAGAAATTCAACTTTCATTCTTTCCTTTTTTATGATTTATGGCATTATAACTGCAGGCACAGCACAGAAGACGTTTTTTTTTTTTAGTTCTCTAGTTTCTGGCCATGATTGTGCTGTTTCCATAGAGGACTTTACATGGCAGTGAAAAATGAGTTCTTGTGGCCTCACAGTGATGGTGGAGACACCTGTTGTCTTGGCAGCGTTATTAGTTGTCTGTGAGAGATTGGCCCAGTTTGGGACAGAGAACATGTTGAGGAAACATTAAAACCTCACAAAAAAAAGGCAAAATGTTTGACATATTAATCTTTTTTTTTTTGCTTTCCGTCATTTTTCTGAAGCTGTTTGATCACCTCTCATTAGGATTTCAGTAGTTTTCCAGCTGTGAGCAGTTCATCTGTTTCCTTTGTGCATTACATAGTGAGACTACACTCACACACTGACTGTATTCAGGCTGTATTATTATACATACTGTATATGTCTGATTTCAGTACATTTTGGCACCTCTCTAGTATGAGCACATTGCACACTGAAATGCTCCTCAGAATAAGTTTAGTTGTAGATTTTACCTGCTGTATAGTTTTTCAGTCGTGCTAATCGCCCTGGAGTGTTGGTGTTATACATCATCACAATCGCTTTATCTCACATCTCACTTAAATATTGCCAAAAATAAACTGTTGACACAAGATGCTGCAAAAACAAAAGGAAAAAATGTGCGCTCTTCTGCATAACTGTGAAGCCATAAATGACTCAGGTGCAGCTAACGGTCACATGGCAGCAATTCAGGGAGTTTTCAGCTGAACAGCAGGTCGAGTCGACACAGAGGAGACGAGCATGGAGACTAATTAAACCTGCAAGTAATAAAATATTTGTAGCATGTGAAGTCGCCTGTGGGCACTTAGGAAAATCAAAGAAATTCCACTTTGGTTTTGATATAATTTATGGTATTATAACAGCATCACAACTGCACAGAAGGCATTTCTGAGTTCTCTTTTTTTACCAGCCATGAATGTGCTCTTTCCATAGAGGTGCAGGACTTTAAATTAGAGTGAAAAATGTCACAGTGAGGAGAAATGTGGCTGCAGAAGAAACGCTCTTTGGGTTGCTTTGAGGGTTAAACATTGCGTTTAAAGTTGCTGAACTTCAGTAAAATGTTTGTGCCTTGACCCAAAAAACAATAAGTGTGAATGTAATAATGTTAGTTGGGCTCAAAGAATTCAAAATGTGAGTAAAAACGTAACACTAACATGCTTTTGTGTAAATAAAAACTTATTTGCATGTACTGTCTGTCTTCTGCAGGAAAGTTCTGTGGCTCAGGACGATCAGATGTGAGACAGTCGGCAGGCTTGTTCCATAGTGACTCCCACCTGCCTGAAGAGGACAACACGGCTCTGGATCAGAACTCACACCTCCGGACGCCTGAAAAAACTGGTCCAACTGTGTCAGAGCCTGACAGGATCAGCAGGACGTCAGGCTGTGATCGTGAAGAAGAAGAAGAGGAGGAAGAGGAGGTGGATATTCTGCTTTACTCCCCAGACAAAGCGCCTCAGACCAGACTGTGTGACGATGGAGTCAACAACATGGACACCACTGCAGATGAAGAAGAGGAAAACGAGATCGATGTGACCGGAGATGAAGCGGAGTGAACTTTGTGCATCGTTTTTACTGTTATCGGTTCAGCACTTTGTCTTGCCAAGTCTGAAATTCTGGTTGTATTTATGTTCACAAAATGCCAGTACCATGTATATTTTGGAGAATTTTACATCTTTCCTTTTTACGTTTTCTTCGTCACTGTCTGGCAGTTATAAGCTTTTTACATTCAGGAATTACAGTCTGGTTTTGACCCTCATTCAGTTCAGCATATACGGTTCAAATGGTTGTTTAATTTTCATCAGGAAAAACAAAAAAGTTCTCACTGTTGTTTACATTTCCCATTTTTGTCAATCATTTTATAAAGTTTACATTTTCAGTGAAGCTGAATTTGTCAGGCTGATTAATAAAAGCACTTATGTGTGACGTCAAGTTATTATTATACTGTTACTTATGCAGCACATTTAAAGTGACAGCTGTTGTTCCAAATGAAAGAAAACAAGATTGATGCCAAGAATTCACCTAAAAAGTTTGACTGTTGAGGTTAAAACCCTTCAGTGTTACTCATAGTGTGAATTAACATGAGAAATGTTCAGCTTATTGAGGATCAAAACACTGCAAAAATGATATAAAATACAACCTCAGCTGATTATAATTGATAATAAGGCTAAGGCCCTACAGTGCGAATAATAATGCAGATTACACAGAACAATTGAAGGTTTTGACCCTAAAAAAAATTGTTTTTGTGTGTATTATATATTATACATATTTAAAAGAAATGTAATATTTATTTATGATAGTTGGAGCTGGTTTTGAGGGTGAGAGAAATATATTTAAGACAAAGGAACTGACATTTATTTATTGAAGTTGGTGCACAGAAGAAGAACAAGAGCATCCAGAAGTTTTCAACAGTGTCTTATGAGATCATAAACATTGGATTGATTGGTGAAACAACTAGACCTGCCCAGCTCCAAAACCAGAAATACCAGAGTAGACAAAAAAACAACAACCACCGTGAGACAGAGATGACACAGAGTTCGTGATGAGCATGATGAGGTTTAATGTGTAGACTCACACATGAACAGGGAAGTAATGTAAAGCCATGTCTGGATTAGAAACCAAGAAGATGAACTACAGGAGAGTTCATGAGAAAAATATGTGAAATGAGGCAACCAATCAACACAATCAGTGGGTCTGCATTTAAACAGTTTATTTGGACTCTGTGTTTGTAAGGCACGTGATTATGGTTTAGTTAGAACTGTCAGTTTTTGTCTTTTAATATTTTTAGGAGCAAAAATGGATTTCTGCCAAATACAATTTTACAAAAAAACAATAATAATGACTTTAAATAGGCACAAAGCCATATAGGGACCATTAAAAACATAAAAATATAAATGAAATGAGAAAGAATATGGAAAAAAAACAATAACAGGTGTGTCCTGATGCTCATTAAAACTTTCTAATTTTTCCAATAACTTGTCCTGTTGCAGTTTGATATTAAAAGTAACTCTTTCCATCTTGAAGATATCATAAATAATATCAATCCAATCATCTGTTGTCGGTATTTCTGGTCTTAACCACTTTTAAGTGGTGGCTTTCCTGCTGGCTGCACTTCAAATATCCACTAGATAAGTAGTACTGAAGGCAACCTCAGGGTCAGATGCACAACAGCTCAAAACTTTTACAGCTTTTTAAATCTCTGAATTGACAAGCATTTCCCAGATTGATTAAATTATTCCACAAACAATTTCCTACAACTACCTCAAAACAGTGTCACATTTAACTCTTGAAGTCATGTAATTTGTACTTTTTTAGTGCAAAAACATGTTGAAAATTAATATTCTGTGTCACAGCAACACAACAATTTTCTTAACTGAGCTGCAATATAGTAATCTTTTAAACATTTATTTCGAGGCTTGACAAATGTGTGTAAGTTAAATTATTTTTTTGCATTTCTGAAAATGTTGCTCATGTACATCTGGTGGGAGAAATCAGAGGAGATACAGTCATCCTCAGATGTATTCATATCCTTCCATTAAAGAAGGAAAAAAAAACAGCTGTCACTGAAATAAGTTGAAATTGACGAAAGTAATACTTAATTTAAAAAAAAAAAATATATAATAATGATAATGAAAATCATGACATTGCTTTTGAATTGTGGTTCAACAGAAATGTTTGAAAAACAAACAAACAAAAAAAACCCCAGCATAATAGGACCCATAAACTAATATTTTGTTGAACAACCCTTTGAGCCAATCACTGCTGTCAAGTGTTTTCTGTAACTCTCAATCAGACTTCTGCACCTGTTGACAGATGTTTTGATTTTGGCCCACTGCTCATCAGCAAAGTGCTCTAATTTGTCCGGGACAGTTTTTATTTTTTTATTTTTATTTTTTTTCCAACTACAATTCAAAAGTAATGCTCATTTCACTAAATTCTAATTTAGCAATTTTTTTTATTTATTATTACTTTTTTCAGTTGCTTGTTGTTTGAGTGATTTGTGAATTTTGCCTTTTCTTTAATGGAAGGGTATGAATACATTAGAGGACGACTATATAACATGCTGTAAAACAGAGTGAAGGCGCACGGAGCGGCCACCAGAGGGCGCACCGCCTGCAGCCTTGTTTGAATCCAACTTTATTGACAGCGGAAGTGCGGGAGGAAGCCGCGCACACGTGTTTTCTTGCAGGTTTGAAGGTTACTGAAGAAGCTTCTGGGGAACCTCCGTGTCTTCTGTCCGCTGGAGAGGGTCACCAGGACGGCGTCGGTCGAGGCGGCACTGAAACGCAGACATGGATCCCATGAAGGCGCAGCAGCTGGCGGCGGAGCTGGAGGTGGAGATGATGGCTGACATGTACAACCGGTAAGTCCAGATCAGGCTAACCGCGGAGCTAGCTGTCTCTAATTTATCACAGTCTGAGGTTCTAAACCACCGTGGCCTTCACGTGTCTCCCTTAAACATCAGTTTACAGATGCTTTGTTCAAATCCTGTAGAAAATCAGCTGAAGATCCAGCTGTAGAGTCATGTTTTAATGCTACACACTGAAAGACAGTATTTCATTGATGCTCAGTCTAGAGCTCTAATTTTCTGCAGGTCTGCACAAGTCAGCATGCTCAAGGTGTCAGTAGGTCCACAAATTATAACATGAAAAAGTAAAACAGACTCGCATGTAGCATCAGAAGTCATTCAGTGTTGGTCTTCCAGTGCAATTGAATTTCCCTTCTGGGATAAATAAAGTATTTTTCATTCATTCATTTAATTTCAAACACATGATGCAGATTAGGCCTGCAGGGGATTGTGACAAACTGACATTGCCATATGTTGTTTCTTGTGAGAAATATAGGGCTTTTTTTTTTTTACCAAGTTACATGAATTAGTCCATTTCTTTATTATGGATTATATTTTATATTAATCCTTATAGAATGAATAATTGGGGTGACTTTGTAGGCAAGTGCATCTGTCACGTCAACTTTATTGTCATCCCAGCTCCACACTCAAGGTGGAATTCCACCCAAGACCAATAAAAGACTAAGATACTAAAAGAACAACCACAGACGGCATTATGTGACAGGACAAAATCTACTAAAAGACTTCATTAGGACAGATGCGTAACAGCAAAAAAAAAAAAAAACAGACATCAGTGCATGTAAAGAAGTGAGGTCGCAATAAATAAGTTAATACATATTGCTAAAAACTATTGTTTTATGTGCTCCCTGCTATGTATCGAAATTTAAAATATATTAAAAGCTACTACTGTGGTGCACATAGAGGTCAGGAGAGACAACCTGCGAAACAATAAAATTAGAGAAAAAAAAGCTGAAAAACTACTTCGTTTTAATGATTGCAAACTATTTAAAGTCTTTTTCATTTGCTTCAACACGACCAAGAATATCCAAAATAGTTCTTTGCTTTGGATGGCGGCATTCAAACCTGGCTTGTACTCATCATACAGATCTTTGTGGTGCAGATTTAAACGATCAAATGTTCTGTTTCCTTGTGTGGTGGCGACAATTCTCAAACTAACCCCAACCAGTCGAGGGAGACGTCTGCCCTCCCTGACCTGGTTCTGCTGGAAGTTTCTTCCGATTAAAGGCTTGTTTTTATTCCCAACTGTTGTCACAGAGCTGCTCAAAGGGAATCATTTGGATTTATTGAGCTTCTACTTATATTATATCATAACATCTTCATCTTACTATGTGAAGTGCCTTAAGATTTTTTATTGTTGTTATTGTTTTTAGACACTATGATTCTTTGTGTAGCCGTATAATTGCAATAAGTGAGCTGGTGTGCTCGAGAAAGAGGCAGGGACTTCATATATTTGCACGTTCTGGATAAAGCAACAGTGTAGAAATGCCATTTTAAGGCAGGAAAGGTTTATTTTCGTGGCTAATATCTGAAGTTTGATACACAAAGATGATGTTTTTAGGATCAAATCAACAACTGAGAGGTATTGTGATGTATGAATTCAGTGGGCAAAGTGAATTTGATGGGGCAACAATGAGGAGGTTTGAACACTCAGGAAGAGCGGATGATGAAGATTAGATGACTGACTTTTAAAACAAGAAGTTGCTAATTTCAGGGGAACTCCTGAAGGATGTGGATGTGAGAGCAGGACTGTTCAACAAGCAGCTGTGATGAGGTCATGTCCATGGACCCTCATCACAGCACATGATGGACAAGTGTCCTAATAACAATAATGATGACTGTTGTAATGGACTTGTATTCTGTGTGGGAGCACTACAATGTACAACCAGAACCCTAAAAGTGCACATTATGAATGTAATACAGCCATTGTGAAGTACATCAGTAATATTATTACAACTGTACAATAAATCTAATACGTCTCTAAGTCTATTGCCTTTATTTACATTTGCAACTTTTGAATGGAAATTCAGAGAAGAGTCACAAAAAAGAAACAGATTTAAGTCTTAATGGAGCTCAGTGGGAAAAACCGGCGCCATCTGCTGTTTGTTTGAATGAACTGGACACTAATATTTACAAGTGTACTGAGTGGAAATGAGCATTAGGTTGGATTTTCTGAGACATAGCAGCTGTGATGAAAAAGCTGAAACATGCACAAGATTCCCCCTCGTATCCATCACAGCTGATTACAAATCGTACTGATTAAGGCACGAATAAATATGCATCAGCTAAAATAGCTACACGTGCTGAGTGTCTTGCTTTGCAATAACACAGCTGCAATTAAATACAATCCAATAAAAACTAATAAGTTTTTTTTTGGATGTTTTCAAAAAGATGTTTAATCTGTGTGTCATGTTGAGTTTGCACAGAGTGATGCAGTGTATGAACAAAAGGACGACTTTATCCACCCTGTTGACATTCATGAACAGTTGCATGTAGTTGCTTCAGTTGCAGGGTTTTGTGCACGCTGGCTCACTGTCACAGCTCACTGAGGCCTTTTGAACAAAACAGATCATGTTATTAGCGACACTGGTGTGTTTTTTCCACTATGAAAAACGAACGTACTAAAGATATTTTACCACTTACATTTTTAATTTGTTTCCATTCTCGTCTACTCTTTGCTCTGTGTAAACACAACCTGCAGTTCATCCCAGCTGAAAAAAAATCACTGAATTTTTGTCAAGTGACCGTTGGTTGCAGCAGAGTCGCGAAACCCTTTCCAGTTGTGTCAAGGAACACAGAATTTTTTGTTTTTTTTACAGAATCTGATTAGAGCAAACTGTTAATTTTTTGGCAAAATTCTAAATGAGACATGTAGAATAAAGTGATTTTGATGAACTGTTGCAACACATCACGTATGAGTAGCTGACAATTTGGTTTTGTTTTCTGTAAAGACAAAATGCCTTTTAAAACCTCTAACCCTTCAGGAGATTAGGATGCTCAGGTGTAATGAAACCACCTGTTAAAATTGTTCTTTATTTGGTTTAGTCTTTGCATGTGGTATTTCTGACTCCTGGCTTCCTGTCCTGTCAGAATGACCAACGCCTGCCACAGGAAATGCGTCCCGCCACATTACAAGGAGGCGGAGCTGACGAAGGGTGAGTCGGTCTGCCTGGACCGCTGTGTGGCCAAATACCTGGACCTCCACGAGAGGCTGGGACGGAAGCTGACGGAGCTGTCGGTCCAGGACGAGGAGGTGATGAGGAAGGCGGCCGTTGGCAGCGGATAGAGACACTGACGAAGCAGAGCGTTGTGGGGGAATTACAAGGTTATGGGACGGGATTAGCATGTGAAGAATATGTGAAGACTTGTGTGTTTTAATAAGTGGGTGGGAGAATCAAAATATAAAGTTAATGCCATTGAGGGTCCACAGAGAGAAACTGCCTCCTCTCCAGCGTTAGAGGACGATACAAAAGGGCAGCGACGAAGGAAGCACCGGTGCAGCAGGAGGACATCTTGCTCCCGGTGGTCCGCCCGCCTCTCCGGATCTGGATTTTACGTTCAGCTCGACCTGCTGAAACTGGACTGGACATGTGATATTATTTCTGTGTTGTACTTTGTGCTTGTTTTCGGCTGTCTGGATTCCAAATATGCCAAATATCTGGTGCATTTGACAGGTTAAAACAAACGGAAAGAATGACTTAAGTGTAGTCGGTGATCTTAACTCATATTTTGAATTCTGTAAATTTTTTTTGTTTGTTTTGGGCCGTCTTTAAAGGGTTAACATGAGACAACATTCAGGTAGCAATACAGTGTTCAGTTAAAAGTTGTCTGTTATGCAGACATAGCAGTTTAATTTTCTTACAAAGAGAGATTAATGGGTTACTGAGGTGTGTTGAATCTGTGGCTTGAGTTTAACTTGCTCGATCACCATGGTAACAGATGCTGCACAGTGGCTCAGTTTCAGCGCCAAAATGTCACCAATTCTTTGCAAGACTGTGTTGTCTGAGTGATACAGATTTCCATCAAACCTTTGTAGGCACACATCAGTAATCCCTCGGAATGAAGCTGTGCAGTTGCACCTTTCAAACTTTGTACATCGCGTTGCCACGGGAACCAACAGCCATTCAGCTGACGATGCAGAATTATGGCTTTACGTTTGGTCCTGATTCTGTTTACACTGCTGTTTTTACAGATAATGGAGCTCATATTTGGAAATTGTTTAGCCTATAGGTGCTTACCATAGAGAATATACAACTGATGATAATGTAGCTTTAACAGTGGTCCTTGATTACAGGACAGTGTCAGACCTAAATGCACTTCTTCAACATCATGTTTAAATTAATGACGTTGAAGCGCTCTCACATGCAGCTGTATGAAGAGTGCACCGAGTGTTGAAATACGTATATTAAACTATTTAGTTTGCATTCCCCTCTTGCATCATTTGCAGTAACAGTGCTTCTTTTTTAGCTCTATAAATTATTTGTCATAGCTTTCTGTTCTAACAACCTGTTGCTTTTGACTGAAGAAGGTGGCACATCATCGCTGCTCCAGTTTGTGTAGAAGAAGAGTTAAATGATGCATTTTTTTTTGGAGCGTAGTGAAGAAAGCGGAACAAACCCATTTTCTCTGCTTGGAGTTACCAGTTTAGTTAAGCCAGCTAACTTAAAGGAAGCCTGGCTATGTCTCCAGGCAACAGGATCAGAGTGTGCACTTCATTAATTATGTGGTAGAGCCAGTTTGTCTTTTTATACAGGACACTATGCATAGTTTTCTCTTTTTTTTTTCTCCACCCTGGATGGTGCTGTGTTGTCAGATACAGGCGGCCTGAACTTTGTCATGTTTGTGTAGACTGTCAGTGGACCATGTTTTTCTCTTCTTTTTTTTTTTCATGTGCAAACCACAGTGACACAGCTTCTGCATAGCGGAGAAGCTGTGTCACTGTGCTGCTGTTACTCTAATAAAAAAAGAAAAAAAAAAAGAAAACTGAATGTGTTTCCTCACATCATGTGTGAAGCTTTTCATGTGGAGTTGTGTTACTGCTGCAGGGCGGAGGAGGAGCTTTATGAAACGTGGCTCTGCACCTTTAAGACAAACACCAGGGCAGAAGTGAGGAAGTGAAGATAACAAACTTTCATTTCCCTCGTGAAACTTTTATTTATACCTGAAGCTTTTGCTGCGGAAAGAGGAACCGACAGCTGAGCGGGGCAGAAGGACGCAGCTGTCCGAGTGTTGGTGCCTCTGAGCCGGACACACTTCAGCAGAGCTCCGCAGGAATATCATGGTGAGTGACTGTCAGCTTGTCAGTAGATCATGACGAGAAGTAAACTAAAGGTTGTTGTTGCTGTAGGTGCGTTTGATTTAATGCCTCATTGTCGCCGTTTTGCAGTCGATAAAGTCTAAATGTGAGTCGCACATTTGTACAAACAGACTCCGACAAAGTTCTATAAATGCAGTAATGTTAAAAAGTACAATTACACCAGGATGGAGTTTGTATTTTAAGGCCTGTGACACGATAACTGTTGCGTTTTAGAGAACAAGGCTCAGATCCTCTTTTATAACAATGTGAGTGAAGTTTCAGTTAAAATGAAAGCAGACCCGCAGGTTCAGTCACATGGATCCACTTAGAACAATGTGAGAAAGTACGGTGAGTGATTCTAATGGGATCATGGAGTCATTATCAGGAAAAGAGAAGGTTTTATTTATTTCTCCACATAGATTTTGCTTTGTGCCCTCTGTTTTTGGGCAAAACACTGGCGAGAGTTTTTTTTTTTTTTTTTTTTTTAAATCCACCCCCCCTTTTTTTTTTTTTTTTTTAGAAAAATAAGCACGTCTATAAAGCCTTTCATTATTATTATTATTATTATTATTATTATTATTATTATTATTATTATTTCTAGAACGTGTGCACGAAGCTGAAGTTAGCTTCCGATTGGACAGTTAAGGGAAAAGTTATCTTACAGCACTGACCTGCTAATTCTCTGTTTTTCCTAAAATTTAGGATTTTCTTCCATTTTAAATAAATAATTAAATAAATTGAAGCCTTAAGTGTTTTGTTTGTTTTGCATTTGGACCACTTTGGACCAGGTCTAGATCACAAATCGTTCTATACAGACAGGTCAGTTATAGACTTGATTGTCCCAGAGAGACTCAAGACTTTTAAACTCAGTCTCTGATTTGTGAAACTTTTATTCTATTTGTGAAAATACAATTTAAAAAAAAAAAAAAAGCAAAACAAACCAGGAGATTTTCTTTACTTTTATTTGCCTCTCGATCATATGAGACCAGATTCACATCAAAAGCATTATTACAGACAGGTCTATCCTGGACCAGACTGTCCTAGAGAGGCTGAAGACTCTTAAACTCAGCCTCTGATTTGTGAAACCTTTATTCTATTTGTGGAAATGCAAAAAAGGGAGATTTCCAGGTTTTTCTTAAAGGCCTAATATAGTTCTCATCTCTCTGTGTCATTCTTGTTACCAAATACTATTTAGAATAAAATTTCTACAAATCAGAGGATTTTTTTAGCCTAACTGACTGAACATGTGGTCTTATGTTATGTGGTCTACATTAAAAAAAAAAAAAAAAAGAAGCACAAAATCTCCTTTTCTTTGCATTTTCACCGACCACAGACTGTTTGTCTGATCCTGGTCCACGATGCTCTACATGCAAAGAAGGTACAGAAATCTTACCTTTGCATTTTCAGAAACAGGATCTAGGTTTCACAAATCGAAAGTGGGTTTCAGTCAGCATTAAGAGTGTGCTTACATTGTCGGACATGGTTTTACATCATTAAAGTGTGGAAAGAAATGGAGAATCAGTCACTCAGTGCTGGAAGTTAAGTTTACCTGAAGTTTTCTCTTAACTGCCGATTCAGAAGCTAACTTCAGTTTCATAAAGGATTATGTGGAGGGCTACAAATGCAAAAATAACATGTATTTTGATTGTCTTGTCAGAAAATATATAAAACATACAGATTTTAAAAACTGATCTGTGTTTGATGGTATATTTGACCAACCAGCTGTCTAAAACCCAGATATACTTAGTTTAATTTAATATGCAAGTAATAAAAACAGCAAATTTTCATCTATGCAAAGCTGCAAGCATGTAAGTGGAGGATTATTCAGTTTGAATATTGTCCACTGCAGAGAAGGTTGAGTCTTTGAAAATGGAATATCAAATGCTTTTTCTCATTTTTATTTTGATATTGTCATTAAATGCCCACACAAGTAGATGAAAATGGAAGTCAGATGATAGTGTTTTCATTAGAATTTTTAACCAAATAATACATACATGTAAAAAAGTTCTAACCTATTGTGGAATAAAGTCTGCTTTTGGCTTCCGTATATTAGTATGCAACAGTGTGACGACAACCGCAGTGTCTGCAGGCCATCGATTGGTCTAAACAATGCCAGAAGCTGTCGTGATCTGACTGCTGATCGAGTGTGCTGCTGCTTTTGGTCACCAGATGGAGGCAACTGACGGAGAAGACCTGATTAGGGACTCTGATCAGCTCATACCGCCTCCCAATGGCGGCATGAACGAACTGCTGAACGTGGGGCAGGAAGACAGCATCCAGGGCCAGGTGAGCTCCTGAGAAAAACTTATTTTATTCTCAGGTTCAGGGTGAAAGATGTTTCAGTTCCCCTCTGGGGCTTAGGAAAAGGAATATCTCATGTTGACTTAACTTTTCATCCTTCTCTCTGCAGATGGATGAGTTTTTGGGCCCCCAGGCCGAATACAACGAGGAGGAGGAGGAGAGGAAATACTACCGGAGGAAGAGGCTGGGAGTCATCAAGAACGTCGTCTCGGCCAGTGTTGGAGCCATGATTGTGTACAGTGTGTACATGGGTGAGTCTGACTGAAGAAAAGACACGTTTTTACACATTTTTTTCTTCACGTCCAAACAGAAACTGTCAATCTTTACCTTTAACAAGAATCATGAAGCACCAGCACATCACTACTGTTTCAGCCTCGTTGCACTGGCTTCAGGTACGCTTTAGGATAGATTTTAAGATTTTTCCAATCACTTTAAAGCCCTTCATGACCTCTCTCTTAGTTTTATATCAGATTTTTTTTTACTGAAAGCACCAGCATGCACTTTGAGAGGTCTTCTGTCTAAAAAAAAAAAAAGTGGCGTTTGCAGTCAGAGCCCCTGAGGCTCTGGAAGAACCTGCCCGAGGAAATCAGGTCGGCTGAGTCAGAAGTGTCTTTTAAGTCTCTTTTCAAAACATGCTTTTATCTGAGAGCCTTTCCAGAGTTTTATTTCCTTTGAATCATCTCTTTTTTTACTTTAAAAATCATCTTAAATTCTGAAAATTTTAGAACATGTCTGTTCTATTTTGTGAAGCACTTTGTAATATCCATCCATCACCTATACACCGCTTAATCCTCACGGGAGGCTGGAGTCTATCCCAGCTGACTCAGGGTGAAGGCAGGGGACACCCTGGACAGGTCACCAGTCTATCACAGGGCTACACTTAGAGACAGACAACCAAGCACACTCACATTCACACCTACGGACAATTTAGAATCACCAATTAACCTCAACATGTTTTTGAACTGTGTGGGAGGAAGCCAGAAAACCCGGAGAACCCACGCTGCACGGGGAGAACATGCAAACTCCACACAGAAAGATCCCGGTGCCCCTACTGGGATGCAAACCAGCGAATCTTCTTGCTGTGAGGCAACAGTGCTACCAACTGCTCCACCTTGCAGACCACTTTGTAATGTTATTGTTATTATTGATTGTCTTTGTATGTGTGTGCGCAGGTCTGCTACAGATGCAGCTCATCCTTCATTATGACATGACCTACCGTGAGGTGAAGTACAGCAACCTGGGCCTGGAGGACATCGACAAGAAGATGCTGATGGGCATCAACGTCACTCCGATCATCGGCCTCCTGTACACGCCCGTACTCATCAGGTAGAGTCCCCAACACAAACGCTGAAACATTTCTTTTTTATTCAAATTTTCTTGCTTTTTCTAAACATACTCGATCTCAGGTTTCTAGGTACCAAGTGGATGATGTTCCTGGCTTCGGGAATCTACGCCCTCTTTGTCTCGACCAACTACTGGGAGCGTTACTACACCCTGGTTCCATCAGCCGTAGCTATCGGCGTGGCCATTGTGCCGCTCTGGGCCTCTTTGGGAAACTATATCACAAGGTGAGGAAGAGGATGTGTATCCTAGCACATGCAGCTTCCTGAAAATCAACCAAAAAGATGCCTAAGTTTCAGTTTAACTAACTTATCTGCTACAGTATACCCAACATCATCGTTTAAAATCCAAACATATACACTCATCACGACCATTTTTCTTTGTCATAACCATCAAATCATTAGATCGCAGGTTTGCTAACAAAAATTGAAGCCCAAATACATCATTTTGTTACTTTTATTCCAACATAGTCAATGAAGGTACCCAAAAAACCTGTCACATTGCTAATAATTCCTGGATTTTTGAGTATTTTAGAATGAAAAAAACTAACAGAACTCGACAGTATATGCTGTTACCAATACAGCAATGCAAAAATACTCCTTTACAAATAAAAGTCCTGCATGAAAAAATCTACTTCAGTGAAAGCAGCAAAATGTAGTTAAAATATTAAAGCAAAAGTCCTGGTTTGCTTCCTCCAACTGGTATAATATTATCTATAAAAGCATTAGAGAGTTAAAACTGAAGCCTCAGTGTGTCAGCAGCACCTTATGGTTGTAGCTGTTGTAGGTTTGAACTACTTCATATCCAGTTTTTCAGATAATTCTCTGGACTCCAAACATCATTAATGTGAGAGAAAAGTGGGGAAAAAAACCAAAGGTCTGATGCAGAAATCTGTTTTCAGTTTTTCTCCCATCTTTCACTTTTGGTGAGATGTTGCATCATTTATTGAAATTAAACCACATAAGAAGTTTAAAGAGAAAAATCACAGCTTAGTGGAGCTGTTAACAAATCATAGATGACTGAAATGTAGAAGCCAAAAAGGTTAGAAATCACTGGTTTAATCTTTAAGAAGCTCGTTATATTGTCTATGATGTAAAACATTCATCCTAAAAATAACTAAAGCTGTCGGATCAACACGGTGCAGTAGAAAATACGATGTTTCCATCTGAAATGTAGTAGAGTTGGAGTATAAAGTAGCATAAATTGAAAATACTCGAGTAAAGTACAAGTACCTCAAGGTTCCACTGAAGCACAGTACTTGAGTAAATGTACTTCCTCATTTTCCACCACTGCTTGCTAATAGTAAACATCTTTTAAATCAAATTTAATTGGTCGGTTTTTAAGAAGTTCACTCTCAGGGGAGCACTAAAATCAGGCCGTAAAGTAGGACTCCATGAAGGGCTCTTATCATGTCATGACAGATATTCTCAAACAAGAATATTAATGATACAAATTTGCATAAAGCAGCCAACCCGCTGTAATTAAGGAGATTTTCGGGACCCCTGCGGCGTCGAGGCGAGTGGCAGTTTGCCTGGTTTGGCACTCAACCTCGAATGCTGATGCTGTTTCTGATTTGTCTCAAACCCAAACCTGATGTACATCTCTGAAAAAGCTCAAAATCTCCTAAAATTGCGGGCTCCAATGCCGACAGGCTTCAAAAGAGTTAAAAAGAAGCTGTTAGCTGCCGCCGTTTTCGAGACATTATATGTTTTAAAAACTCCACGATTAAATAATAGATTCGGGCTGCGGTGCGCTGCAGACGCCTCCTCTGATGGGCTCCAAATTGCTCCGTCTTTACCAACAGAACGCCTGAGCTGAATTAATGCACCAGTCAGTCACAACAAAGCTTTGAGAAAAGAATCATTAGCCATTTCAAGTGAGTGTTTTCATGTCTGCTCACAAAGAGGTGTCACAATATGTTGGATCGCTTCGATCGATGCGCTTCTCAAAAAGCAATTTAACGGGCCCTTTGTTGAAACTCTGTCGAACCTTGTGGGGCTGCTGTTGTCAAGCTGAGGTCTGTTTTGTTTGTTTTTTAAGGAGGGGCTTTGTATTCTTTTGAGAAGAAGAGTTGCTTTTTTCCGTTTTAGCGTCTAATGTTGACAACTTGAATTCAAAAAGCAAGATGACATGCACTCTTAGGTTGTTTACACCTCCTGTATGTAGGATTCAAAGGGTAAAGTGTAGTTGTTGAGGTGTGAAACTGACCCTCATGCATCGAGGTCAGTCGTGCTCGTAGAGGATTGTGTGATGGGTGAAAATACTTCATTCATTTACTACATGACTTTTTTTTAGCAGCTCTTGAATGAAAAATAGTGTTTCCGCCATGTTAGCACCACAAGTACAAAAATATCAACATTTTTTGGTTATCAGATGTTAGAAAGTACTTAAAAATACTGTTTTCAAAGATTAAAAAGAAATATTTTGACAAACCAGGTTTCCAAAACACAAATATATTGAGTTGAATATCACATGCAACTAATAAAAACTTTTTTTTCCCTTAAATTAAAGCATAGTTAAAGTCCACATGACGCAAAAGAAAATAGGATTTATCAGACCAGGCTGCCTTCTTCCACTGCTTCATGGCTCATTTTTGATGCTCATGTGCCCGCTTTAGGTGCTTTAGGTGCTTTAGGTGCTTTAGGTGTTGGAAAGAGATCAGTATGGACTCTCTGACTGGCCTGAAGCTGCAATACGCTGCGTTTTCCGCCACCTTTCTATCATTTGTCTATCATAAGGTTTGCACCTGTCGCCAGTTCATTCATTGTCCTCCCTTTGACCACTTTTGGACACCTGCTGCATACCATGAACACCAGATCTGCTGTTTTGGAGATGCTCTGATGCAGCCGTTGAGCCATCACAGTTTGTAAAAGTCTCTCAGATCCTCAAACTTTTCCTGCTTCCAACACATCAACTTGGAGAACTGACTGTTCACTTGCCACCTGATGCATCGCGCCGCTCGACAGGCGGCACTGAAACAAGATAATCAATGTGTTTTGTGGCCAATCAGAGTATATAATAAGTATTTCTGCTGCATTTGTTTGTCTGCAGGATGGCGCAGCAGTACTACGAATACGCCAACTACAAGGAGGAGCACGTCCAGGAGCAGAAGAAGCTTCCAAAGGGAGCGTGTCACAGCTACATCATCGTCTTCCAGTCCATCTTCAACATCATCTTCAGCGTGAGTCTTTGGTCGGGTTTTTGCTCACTAATTCTTCGGTTAATTTAAATTTTCATGCTGAATTAATGACCAAATGGTGTTTAAAAAGGTTGAAATAACCAACAGCAATCGTCTTGTGTCTTGCTTTTCTTCAGCTGAGTTTCGTCTTCGCCGAGCTGCCCATGTGTCTCATCCTCAACGGCTACCTGCAAGACAAGGACCACGTTCTCTTGAATGTCAAAAAATGCGGTAAAGACACCTTAGAAGTCTTAAAAATGAATAAACACAGGACAGACACACAGCACACGAGGGTTCAGGCCACTTTAGTGAGGTAAAATAAAGGAACAAACCAGCATTTTGGGAGCGTTTATTCATTCTTATGCTGTCAGTAGACTGAATTTGAAGCGTATGGACCTGAAGCAGAAGGTATCCACATTCAGTGTTCACTATTAAACATTTGATACCACCTTTGTCTAATCTGTACAAAAAAACTAAATGTGAAATTGACAGTTTAACAGGAGTAATGTGATGCATTATTCGTTGACTGGGGCCTGTTGTTTTCTTTATACCGCCGTTTATGTACAGATTAAGCAAATAAGATGATTTTAACTTTCATCCTGTGTTGCATATAGTCATGAGCTGCTATTTTTCAGATTTTTTTTTTTAGTTCATTTCAGCTCTGTGGTGTTTTTTTTCCCACGTGATATTTCGGAGGTTCCACAAACTTTCCAGCTATGAGCCCTGATTTTAGCCAAGCAGTTATTTTCAGTGAAAAAAGCTGACGAATCCGCTTCACCTGCCAAACCTCAAACGTCGGAAAGACTCAGTTAGCAGCGAGCTGGTGAAACAAAGCGGAAGATTTAGAAGCTGAAGAGCCAGATATTTCTCTCAGGAGGCGGCGAAGCTGGATGTGTGAATTGTCAACTTCCAAGTGTGATAATAGGTCAACTTCTGTTCCTAATTTGTTCTGCTGCTCTCAAGTAGCTGGAAATTAATTTTAAATGTTGTATTTTTGAATTTTTCTTCTTTTTTTTTTCTCACACTGTCTCGTATCACTCACGACTTTCTGTGTCACAGATAAAAACAGTGTCATAGTTTTATATAACTTTGAAGTACACGTAGTTTACATTCATACACTGTAAGAGAAATTGTAAAATATGAAACAGAGCTAAATGAATTGAATGATTAGAGTCAAGCCCACTGCCTCTGCAATCCGACTTACAGACAAGATTCAAGATTCAAAGGTTTTATTTGTCACATGCTCATACAGTATGTGCAGTGAAATGTGACCCTTCTCCAGGCTGTAACACTAAGACGTTACAAAAGGACAAATCTTTGGGCAACTACGGAAAATTAGAAAAAACAAACATACCTGACAGATTCAACCTGGAGAGAAGTGCACCTTTGTGCTATTTATAATAAAGTCTGTGCATTTGCTGGATGTAATGAAAGAAGTTTGCTTAAGTTGTATCCAGAGTTTGAATTAAAAGTACAAATAAATATAAAATGAATAACATTAAATGTTACGAGGAAAAACTTTAAATTGATAGCATGGGCATAAACCTTTATACAAAGAACTACATATTAAATTACTGATAATTGACGTTTTACATAAATCTGTATGTAATTTAGGACGGCTGAATGATTGCTGTGTAAGTAGTAGAGCACATTTGATGTATGAAAAAAGAAATTAATATTATTTGGTATCATTGCTATCATAGTTACAATAAGTGTTGTTAATTTTTCTATACAAGTTAAAAAACAACTTGAATCTACAGGAAAAAAGTAGTTATTTGCCTTATTTTTACATTTTTTTTAAAACAATATATGTATTAAAACTTGTGGGAAACTCTCGTCTTGTTTTTATTGTCGATAACAATAAGAGGAAACAGAAGTGTACAAAACCACATGAACTCTTTTAAGCCGCTGCTCTGTTTCTTTTTGTTTTTAATAACTTCCTAATATACATTTAGACCACTTGTTTGCACTAATAATGTTTTTGTTTTCTGGTTATTTCTGTAAAGCAGAGATGCAGTCTAATGTGTTAAACGTGCAGGTTGCAGGTCAGACTTTCATTTGCTTCCTATCATCTCCTCCTTTTCCTCCACCAGGAGCTGGAATCAGCGGCGTGGTTCCCGGGTTCAACACCACCGTGCTGACCAACCTACCTCGCTCCATGCTGCTCATCCAGGTGGAGAGCGTCCTCATGGGCTTCGCCTTCCTCGCCATGATCATAGTAAGATCTACCAGACGCACAATCTGACTCCTTAGAATTGTTATACTGGTATCATGGTCTTCTTGTGTTTGATCTGCGTTTGTCCGTCCTGTTCTGAGAGAAGTTCTTGCACAGAAAATAGCGACGTTCCTTCACCATTCACTGGAAGTAAATAGCAAAAATCAAGCTTGTATTGAGAGAACGTGGATGCACACAAAAAAAAAGAACTGCAAGACAGAACTGTACTCAGGTAAAACTGTGATTTGCTCCTTTTAAATTTCTCTGTGCATCACTTTTTGTTGAAATAAGAAGAAGAAGATACAAAAGTTTTATTTTATGGTTCAAGTAGCTTCGATTTTTAGATCATACGTAAGTAATGAAATAAGTAAAATTGGGCTTTTCGCCTCTATAATAAATATATACACAAATTTATAAATGTTGCATACAAAACAGAACTCTTATTTCTCTTTAAATATGATGTGATTTGCTTTAGACTTTAAAAAATACGAGACAAATCACATCATATGAAGGAACACAAATGTGTTTAAAAGCCAGGAAAGCAAACAGCAAAACCATAAATTATTCCAAAAAAAGAAAATGTCCAAACTGGCAATAACAGCAACAGGGGATCTACCAGAATCATAACTGCAAAGCTACGACATTATCAACAAAGATGCATCGGAGCCGAGAAACTCCAAGGGCTCTGAAAGGTCTGAGTGGGCGATAAGTAGATTTATCTGTGAATATGCTCATTTAAAGAACAACATCACTGTAGCGCCTGATTTTGTTAAGACTCACTGTGAAAAGCAATATTTTTAAGACAGTGTTTTATCAGCAAACCAGCTGGAGGAGGAACCTGTGGGGTTAATAAAAGCTCAGCAGCTAATGTTAGAGGCAGGTTCAGTCACATCTTTCTGCAAAAGGTGTGATCTTTCTTGGGGCAACAACAAGCTGTAAACACAACACTAAGACACTTTCAGCTCATAGGGTTGTTATGGTGAGTGTGTTTACTTTGAGTTGTGTTTCTGACCACTTCATAATTTATTAGAATTATTTATCTGCTGAATGCTCCACTATGTTCAACAGATAGCTGCTGGCTTTTGTTTTCTGTTTTGCTGGGATGGTATCATACAGGGACCAGTGAAAACAGCTGCCTGCTGCTGCTGCTAGAAATGAGACGGACAAAAAGTAATGAGACTAAACCGAAGCAGGAACGTTGTGGGCTTCAAAACTAAAACAATTAGTAAATGCAAGCAGAACTCAGAGCTTGTATTTATGTAAAATTACCAACAACAGTGTGGAAATATTCTGTCACAAGTAAAACTCATGCAGTTGAAACAATACTCAAGTAAAAAGTGTCAGTATAAAAATAAACTTTAAGTACCAAAAGTAAAAGTAGTCATAGTTCAGAATGACAGACTAATGTGTATTATTGGATTATAAGTATTGATGCATTCATCACTTTAATGTTGAAGCTGATGAATGTGTTTTATCTACAAATATTCACTTAAGTTGTATATTTGTATAAAATATTTTACCATAACTGACTGTATTTTGTACTACAAGCTGCAAAGTTATTAAATATATATAGTGGAATGAAAAGTACAGTATTTGCCACTTAAATTTAAGCTGAGTGAAATGGTAAAGTATCAGAAAAATGGCAGTTGTTAATTAAAGTAAGTCAAAATTGTACTCAAGTAGAGTATTTGAGTAAATATACTTAGTTACTTTTCACCACTGGAGCTAAAATGTTTTGTCCAACTGAGAGGTTTCTGTGTGACTCCTCTTGTATTACATATTTGTACTGTATACTGAAGATTAAGGCTGCAAGGTGGCTTGGTGGTTAACATT